GCGTGCGGGGGCGGGGGGCGGGGCGGGGGCAGGCGCGGAATGGGGAGGAAGGGAGTTAAAATAGTCCTTCACTCAAGAAATCCAGTTCCGCAGAATAGAGAGCCCAGAAATGGACCCTCAACTCTATGGTCAACTCATCTTTGACAAAGCAGGAAAGAATGTCCAATGGAACAAAGACAGTCTCTTCAACAAATGGTGTTGGGAAAATTGGATAGCCACATGCAGAAGAATGAAACTGGACCATTTCCTTACACCACACACAAAAATAGACTCCAAATGGTTGAAAGACCTCAATGTGAGACAGGAGTCCATCCAAATCCTAAAGGAGAACACAGGCAGCAACCTCTTTGACCTCAGCCAAAGCAACTTCTTCCTAGAAACATCGCCAAAGGCAAGGGAAGCAAAGGCAAAAATGAACTATTGGGACTTCATCAAGATAAAAAGCTTTTGCAAAGCAAAGGAAACAGTCCACAAAACCAAAAGACAACCGACAGAATGGGAGAAGATATTTGCAAATGACATATCAGATAAAGGGCTCGTATCCAAAATCTATAAAGAACTCATCCAACTCAACACCCAAAGAACAAAGAATCCAATCAAGAAATGGGCAGAAGACATGAACAGACATTTTTCCAAAGAAGACATCCAAATGGCCAACAGACACATGAAAAAGTGCTCAATATCGCTCAGCATCAGGGAAATCCAAATCAAAACCTCAATGAGGGCGCCTGGGTGGCTCAGTTGGTTAAGCGACCGCCTTCGGCTCGGGTCATGATCCTGGAGTCCCAGGATCGAGTCCCGCATCGGGCTCCCTGCTCAGCGGGGAGTCTGCTTCTCCCTCTGATCCTCCTGACCCTCCCCCCTCTCATGCTCTCTTTCTGTCTCTCTCTCTCTCTCAAATAAATAAATAAAATCTTAAAAAAAAAAAAAAAAACCTCAATGAGATACCACCTCACACCAGTCAGAATGGCTAAAAGTAACAAGTCAGGAAATGACAGATGTTGGCGGGGATGCGGAGAAAGGGGAACCCTCCTACACTGTTGGTGGGAATGCAAGCTGGTGCAGCCACTCTGGAAAACTGTATGGAGATTCCTCAAAAAGTTGAAACTAGAGCTGCCGTATGATCCAGCAATTGCACTACTGGGTATTTACCCCAAAGATACAAAAATAGGGATCCGAAGGGGTACGTGCACCCCGATGTTTATAGCAGCAATATCCACGATAGCCAAACTGTGGAAAGAGCCAAGATGTCCATCGACAGATGAATGGATAAAGAAGATGTGGTATATATATACATACAATGGAATATCATGCAACCATCAAAAGGAATGAGATCTTGCCATTGGCAACGACGTGGATGGAACTGGAGGGTATTATGTTGAGTGAAATAAGTCAAACAGAGAAAGACATGTATCCTATGATCTCACGGATAGGAGGAATTCTTAATCGCAGGAAACAAGCTGAGGGTTGCTGGAGTGGGGGGTGGGGTGGGAGGGATGGGGTGACTGGGTGATAGACACTGGGGAGGGTAGGTGCTCTGGCAAGCGCTGTGAATTGTGCAAGACTGTTGAATCTCAGATCTGTACCTCTGAAACAAATAATGCAATCTATGTTAAGAAAAAAAAAAAAAGAGGGCGCCTGGGTGGCTCAGTTGGTTAAGCGACTGCCTTCGGCTCAGGTCATGATCCCGGAGTCCCGGGATCGAGTCCCGCATCGGGCTCCCTGCTCGGCAGGAAGCCTGCTTCTCCCTCTCCCACTCCCCCTGCTTGTGTTCCCTCTCTCGCTGTGTCTCCCTCTGTCAAATAAATCAATAAAATCGTAAAAATATATATCTTTAAAGAAATCCAGTTCCGGGACATCCGTGCCGTCCAACACTAGTACGGGGTGGGCGGGGGAGGTGCTCTAGAAGAGTTAAATATTGATGATGATGATGATGATGATGGAGAAGAAGAAGAAGGAGGAGGAGGAGGAGGAGGAGGAGGAGGAGGAGAACTGTTCCATGCTATTAAGGGTAAAACAAAAACAAGGCGTAGAACTTCCTCTGGCTCGTAAAGGGGGAAAAAAAAAATGGTTTGGGTTTTGTTTTTTGTTTTTTCTTTCTTCCTGTTTCAACTAAGCGCATTTCAGGGCACCTGACTGGCTCCGGTCGGAGGAGGCCCACGCGACTGCGACTCTTGATCTGCAGGGGTCGTGAGTTCCAGCACCATGCTGGATGATCACTCAAAAAGCTTTCAAAAACAAACACGCAAACAACCGACACCGAGCAGCATTAACCATCAAAGATACACACCTGTGACGAATACGACGTCAGAGGAAACCACGAGCAGCAGTAGCAGAGGATAGGACACTAGAGGGCAACAGAGCCCCATCCATAGGTGCTAGGGGCACTTGAACGCTTTCTGTGTCCACTAGGGACCTCGAAAAAACTTCACTCCCCTATCCAGGGAGGAGAGGGGAGAAGCAACCTCCAGCAAGAATTCCTTTGATTATCTTAATCGCAGGAAACAAACTGAGTGTTGTTGGAGTGGGGGGTGGGGTGGGAGGGATGGGGTGACTGGGTGATGGACACTGGGGAGGGTGTGTGCTCTGGTAAGCGCTGTGAATTGTGCAAGACTGTTGAATCTCAGATCTGTACCTCTGAAACAAATAATAATGCAATCTATGTTAAGAAAAAAAAAAGAAGAAGAAGAAGAAGGAGGAGGAGGAGGAGGAGGAGGAGGAGGAGGAGGTAGCAGGAGGGGAAGAATGAAGCGGGGGGAAATCAGAGGGGTAGACGAACCATGAGAGACGATGGACTCTGAACAACAAACTGAGGGTTCTAGAGGGGAGGGGGGTGGGAGGATGGGTTAGCCTGGTGGTGGGTATTGAGGAGGGCCCATTCTGCATGGAGCAGTGGGTGTTGTGCACAAACAATGAATCATGGAACACTTCATCTAAAACTAATGATGTAATGTATGGGGATTAACATAAGAATAAAATAAAAGAAAAAAAAAAGAATTCCTTTGATTAAAGGTAACTCTTACTACATTGAACTTCACCATTTCGGGGCACCTGGGGGGTGGCTCAGTCGTTAAGCGTCCGCCTTCGGCTCAGGTGACGAGCCCAGGGCCCTGGGATCGAGCCCCACATCGGGCTCCCTGCTCCGCGGGAGGCCTGCTTCTCCCTCTCCCACTCCCCCTGCCTGTGTTCTCTCTCTCGCTGTCTCTCTCTGTCAAATAAATAAATAAAATCTTTAAAAAGTAAATAAATAAATAAATAAATAAATAAATAAATAAATAAATAAATAAATAAATAAATAAATAAAATAAACTTCACCATTTCAACATGGACCTTTAATGGTTTCCTTCCCAACCAAGCCTTTCTCCTTGCCTCCTCCTTACCCGCGTGAATCCCTGATCCCACTTCACAACATCCCCCCCCCCACACACACACACCAGGCTGAAAACTGTTCTCTCTAAACCATAAATCCTGAGCATCAGGAAAGTACACGAGGAAACACAGACGAGAGAGAGAGAGAGAGAGAGAGAGAGAGAGAGAGAGAGAGACCAAGCAAATAATGTGGCTCTGAAGGCTGGACATCGATCGAGTTGAGAGAAAGGACCAGACATCACAAACTCGAAAAGAAGGTTTTCCTTTAAAGCTGATCTCTTCCTGAGTTGGCTAAACTACGTTCTTTACTGGTACGGCCTCCACTCAAGAGTGCGACGATCAAAAGAAGGTTTCGCAGTAAACACTTCACGGGTGCATCTATTAAAAAAAAAAAAGAAAAGAAAAGAAAAAAAAGGGCGCCTGGGTGGCTCAGTTGGTTAAGCGACTGCCTTCGGCTCAGGTCATGATCCCGGAGTCCCGGGATCGAGTCCCGCATCGGGCTCCCTGCTCGGCAGGGAGTCTGCTTCTCCCTCTGACCCTTCCCCCCTCTCATGTGCTCTCTGTCTCTCTCATTCTCTCTGTCTCAAATAAATAAATAAAATCTTTAAAAAAAAAAGTTCACGGGTGCAGGCTTCACATTGGTTTTTCAAGTACACGTATTTCAGGGCACCTGGCTGGCTCGGTCGGAGGAGGCCCACGCGACCGCGACTCTTGATCGGCGGGCGTCGTGAGTTCCAGCACCGCACTGGATGGGTGTACAGATTACATACACAAGCAGACAGGCAAAAGGAATTAGAATCGCTATGGTGATTTCGAAGAAAACAAAACAAAACTCAGGAAACAAAGTCGTCCTCTCCGGGCCCGTTTCATGCTTATGTATAGAGGCGATAGAGACCCTGTGATGTTGGCAGACAAAAGAGACAGGTCGGTGGATGGAACGCCACAGATACCCAAACAGATAGGCCCAAGCCCGACAGAAGTTTGACAAATGCGCAAAGGCCATTGGAAGGAGGAAAGACGGCCCACCTCCCCACGAAATCAGAGGGCAGGCATCAGACATCCACAGACCCAACACGCAGGCAAGCAGGCAGACAAAGAAACAAGAAAGCTGGGGCGCCTGGCTGGCTCAATCCGTGAACCGTCCGCCTGCCTTCGGCTCAGGCCCTGAGCTCAGGGTCCGGGGATCCAGCCCCACATCGGGCTCCCTGCTCGGCGGAGACTCTGCTTCTCTCTCTCTCAATCTCTCTCTCTCTCTCTCTCTCTCCCTCCCTCCCCCCTCCCTCCCCCCACCCCTCCTCTCAAATAAATAAAAGTCTTTTAAAAAGAATAATTTAAAAAAAAAAAAAAAGGAAGAAAAGAACGTCACTCACTCCCCTTCCGGCATAGGGAGGACATCTTCGGGGGGGGGCGGGGGATGGGGGGGATGCCTCTCGGGAGAAAAGGGGGAGATTCAGCGAGTCAGCGCACCCTCCTTGCACCTGTGTGTGTGTGGGGGGGGGTGGTGGTTTGTGTGTTTCCTTGCCGCTGCTCGTTTTTTACAAGTGTATATAGAGTTCAAAACAGTATGCTGGTTTCCTTTATATCTAAGTCTTATCTCGGGTTTGGGTTCTGATGGGAGGAGGGAGGGCCACCTTTTCTTCCGACATGGTGGAGAAGGAGAAGAGGGATGCAGGCCTGTGCATATTCTTTTCCGTCGTGGGGTGAGCAGAGGACTCGGATTCAGCTCTTGCTGGATGGGATCTAATTTCTCTGTAAACAATCAGGCAAGATATCAGGCGAACAGAGGGCGAGCAAAGGTTAGCAGAACATGGACAAGATTGGCTATGGGTGCTGGAGTTTCCAAAGCAAGGATTTCATCAGAGGCACGTGAATGTCAAAGATTTCCAGGGACCATGTTCATGGATGACTTGGGGTATAGGTCATTTCAAAGTTACGGTGCTACCACCCGGTCACTTGAGCATACTGTCTCCAGCTCACGGCTGCAGATGCGATATGGGGCTCCTCCAGGGATGGAATTGTGCCAGAGAAAGGGAGACAGCAGCCTGTAATTGAGCCTAAGGTGTGTCTGAGAGAGTGACTCTCTAAAGTGCCTTGAGGCAGAAGGAGACCAGCTAGATTTGTCTTTGCTAGGTATTTGTGGCAATGGGGTCGGTGTGGCTGGTGGGTGTTGTCTGTTTATTTTCTAGATTCAGAGAAAGAACTCTTCAAGTGGAAGTATTTGCACAAGGGGTCTGGCAGGATGGGAGGGTGCAGGGGTCGGTCCATTTAACAAGATAACAGGAGGATCAGGCCTTTTAAGAACTAGGCAAAGAGAGGAGTTTAGCTTTGGTCATCACAGCACCTGGCACCTCAGCAGAAACAACAGAAGGTTCCCAGGATGAATTGAGTTGCAGGAGTCAGCGTGAGCAGACCCCACCACCCTCAGCCCTTATCCCTCAGCGCCCCCCCCCCCGCCCCCCAGGCACACACACCCGGGCAGGCAGCGGCTATAGTCCACTCCGAGCTCCAGATCTGGGTCCCGCCCCCCCACCCCCACCCCCACCCCCACCCCCACAGGGCTCCCCTGTCCTCTTCTCAGCCAGAGATGTATATGGGAGGGTGGTCCCAGAACAAATCTCCCCTCATCCACGGAAACCTTGCCAACACTTCGACCACTTTGCCTGAGCTACCAACTCATCTGTACCCGTGCGTGATTTTTTCCCTATGGACCAGGGGCCTAGTTACCAACTTAGGATGGACAGCCCCCCCCCCCCCCCCCAGCCTACTGTTCCAATTCGACCAGAGGACTTCAGTTGGGGGGGGATGGGGGGGCTGGGGCTGGGGCTGGGGCGGCTGATGGGACGTTCAGGGTGATCCATTCTAATGGGCCTCATTCAATCGCTTCATTCAAATGCAGAAAGCTTTCTGTTAAAGTCAGAGCCTGGAGCTTCCCTCCATTCAATGGCTTTCCTCAACTCCCCCTAACCCTTAGGCTGCAGCTTGCAAACTTCGGAGAGAGATGAGGGAGGGAGGGAGGGAGGGACGGAAGGGAGGGAGGGAGGGAGGGAGGGAGGGAGGGAGGGAGGGAGGGAAGGGAGGGAGGGAGGAGGGGAAGGGGAAAGAGGGTGTCTGAAGAGCTCACCTCATCTGGGGGCAAAAAGAGTCCCCTCCTTTTCCTAACCCACGAAACTCCAGTAAACCCTTTGGGAATCATGAATGTGGGGGATGATGTCTTACTATACTGCCTTCCAGGGATGGGTGTGCAGGTAGGAGGGTGTGGCATGGTGTGGCTGGCTGAGTCTGAGGAGGACCTTGAACACATGATGGTGGTATCTTAGCGGTCAGAGGCCAAACACAAGCATGGAGTGATAAGGGCTAAGGGCTAAGGGCTAAGGGAGGCCTGACAGGGACCGTTCTAACTCATCCACCGAGTTATGGGCCCAGCAAGCACACTCCTCTAAATCAACATTAACAGTTTATTGATTGTTGGGGCACCTGGGTGGCTCAGTCATTAAGCATGTGCCTTCGGCTCAGGTCATGATCCCAGGGTCCTGGGATCGAGCTCCGCATCGGGCTCCCTGCTCCGCGGGAAGCCCGCTTCTCCCTCTCCCACTCCCCCTGCTTGTGTTCCCTCTCTCGCTGTGTCTCTCTCTGTCAAATAAATAAATAAATACAATCTTAAAAAAAAAAAAAAAAAACAGTTTATTGATTATCCATCGACCTGTCCTCCCTCTCCCACCTGCTTCCCAAGGGAAATCCTCGGTCTCATTCCACGTAGTCACTGGCTGTTTTCGCACACCACCTTCCTGTCCAGTAAGAGGAGGAAGGAAGATGGACAAACAGGAACCAGCCCCACAGATGGCACCTCTGCACAGAGGGGTGAGTGTGAGTCTCATTGGGCCAACTGTGACTCTGAGCCATGATCCCAGGGTTGTTTAAAATATGGAACAGAAGGAGCACCTGGGTGGCTCAGTCAGAACAGCACATGACTCTTGATCTCAGTCAGGGTCCTGAGTTCAAGCCCTACACTGGGACTACAGATGATGAAAAATGAATGAATGAATGAATGAATGAATGAATGAATGAATGAATGAATTTTTAAAAATAAAGTATGTAATGTTTATCTCTTTAAAAAAAAAAAATGGAATGGAGGGGCGCCTGGGTGGCTGCCGGTTGAGCATCTGCCTTCAGCTCAGGTCATAATCTCAGGGTGCTGGGATCGAGCCCCACCCCTCTGGGGCTCCCTGCTCAATGGGGAGTCTTCTCCCTCTCCCTCTGCCCCTCCACCCACCCATGCGTGCAAGCTCTCTGTCTCTCTGTCTCTCTGTCTCTCTGTCTCTCTGTCTCTCTCTCTCTCTGTGTGTTTCTCTCTCTGTCTCTGTCTCTCTCTGTGTGTCTCTCTCTCTGAAATAAATAAATAAAAACAAACAATCAAACTTCAAAAAGGAAAAGGGCAGGGACATTTATGATTATTCATGGCGAAAGTTGGAGCACGTATATTCAGGAAACATATGTACCATAGATTCCCATGTTTACTTCGGGGTGGAGACCTGACATCTGAATGAGGCAAAACTGAGTCCCTGATGTCAGGAGGTTATCTGAGGACAAGGAGAAGAGGCTGTGGGCATGCTCTGAGAGCTGGTACAACCTGGATGGGGTCTTAGGCTCCTTTTCTCAGGTAAGGAATCAGGACCTCGCTTCTTCATAGGCTGCAGCCATTATCAGTTGACCTTGAGTCCAGACTTCTGCAGAGACAGCCAGTATTTGGTAGCAGGGCCTGAAAAGACACAATAGCTGACTAGGGGGAAACAGTTCCCTGAAAAACCAGCTTTAAGCTTTCTGCTAGCATCAACCTCATTAACCTTATGGGGCACGGTTTCAATCCCCACCCCCACCCCCACCCCCACCCCCACCAAGTGAGGATCATTCCTCAGTCTTAGGGAATTGGGATGATGATGGCTGTGGCTATTCTTTCATCTCCTCAGGGGAGGTAGGTTTTGGGTAAACGACAGTTTCTGTAAATCTTAGCTGTAACATGGCTATGTTCAGGGCTAAACAGAAGTTTTTAACCTACAGGTTAAAAGGGAATAAAAATAACAGGGAGTCAGACATGCTACATTTTTCCCTGTTAAAATTTCCCCTTGTCCATCCTGCATTCCATTTCTATGACACATGGGCAGAGGTCTGCCTTCTTTATTTAACTGCTTCAAGCTGAATTAGGGTGCAGTAGAGGCTTTGGAATGGAAGGATCTGAGACACTGCAGGTCGCAATTTTTGGTCCCTTGTGCTAATGGAGGGGGTCTCAGAGATAGTTCCTTATCTGAGAACTTGGTTATTTTTCTACATGGTTTGGGACTACATGACACCATTGATTTTATCCCCAAGTGTAGTCTAAGGAATAGTAACAGTAGAGTCAAACCCAATTCTCTCATTCTCTCTCAAATTGATCTGATATCGGTGGGTATCCAAGAATACAGATCAGTAAATTAGTCTGAGCCCCTCCCCTGGGGGGGGGGCGGTAGGTTGTGGTGGTGAAGGGCTTCTGGTAGCCAAGTAGCTTAGTGTTTGATTTTATTTACATGGGTTCTTTTTTATTTTTTTTTTTCTTTAAAGATTTCTATTAAGTAATCTCTACACTCAATGTGGGGCTCGAACTCACAACCCCGAGATCTAGAGTCGTATGTTCTACCAGCTGAGCCAGCCAGGTGCCCCTATTTATATGGGTTCTTATTTTCCAAAGAGGAGTTAATACAGGTGCAGCAAGGTGGAATTAAGGATCATAGACTCTGCCTCATTCAGCAAGTGATCTTGTAGTTAATAAGAGGCATTTCTATGGAAACAAAAGGAAAACATGGTTAATGGTTGGAACAAGGGATACACCTGGTGTCTAAGTCCAGAGGGCTGCCAGTGAGAAGGTCTCTAGATGTCAGGCTTGAAGCATCCTCCAATAGAGTGGGAGTGGGCAGGGGCAATCTGACTAATTTTTCTGGCGTATAGTTCAAATGTCTCATTTTGAGTGACTCATAGAGCAACAGGCACAAAGATTGTCTATATATGAGTTATTGTGGTCATTTCCCTGAAATTTATTTCAAGTTGTCCAGCTTTCATTTGCCAGACTTCAGGAAAAAGGACAGTTTTAGTTCTTAATGATTGTAAGATAAGAGAATGGGAGAATGTTCTGAAACAAATAATGCAATATATGTTAAGGGGAAAAAAAGAAGAAGAAGAAGAAGGAGGAGGAGGAGGAGGAGGAGGAGGAGAAAAGGAGGAGGAGA